CAATCAATTTTTGAGAAAAGAATTATGAGCAAGACAACAAAAATATTTTATACCTTTTGAGAAATCTCTTTTCTCTACTGCCTTCTGTGCTCTCATTGTTAATCACACTTGTTTTTGGAGATTGACATTCTACAGACTTCTACAATTTGTTGTCTCCATTACCCAGGTGTGACTGTTCTTATTTTTATTACCTTTATCCTTTGTATATTGGTGGCAAATGAGATATTTTTCATCCCTAGTGTGATTCTAGGGAGGTGTTCATCCTTAGTGGGTTTCTAAGGAGGTGTTTTCATCCTTTGATTTGTTCAAAGGAGGTTTTCATCCCTAGTGTGATTCTAGGGAGATGCTCATCCTTAGTGAGATTCTAAGGTGGTGTTTTTCATCGTTTGATTTGTTCAGAGGAGGTTTTCATCCCTAGTGTGATTCTAGGGAGGTGTTCATCCTTAGTGAGATTCTAAGGTGGTGTTTTTCATCGTTTGATTTGTTCAGAGGAGGTTTTCATCCCTAGTGTGATTCTAGGGAGGTGTTCATCCTTAGTGAGATTCTAAGGAGGTGTTTTTCATCCTTTGATCTGTTCAGAGGAGGTGTTCATCCCTAGTGGGATTCTAGGGAGGTGTTCATCCTTAGTGGATTTCTAAGGAGGTGATTGTCTTTTTAATTAGTTTACTTTTTACTAGTTCTTCTGTTGGGTTGATTGTAATTTGTAAACTGAATTTGAAAGATAGTGAATTGTGAGTCACTCTTGTGTTAAGAGTTGACTGGAACTGGATGTAGGGTTGACTATACCCGAACCAATATAAATTACCGTGTGTTCTTTTCTTTCCCTTATCTCTTTCTCTTTTCTTGATTATATTATCACTTCCGCTTTATCTGTGTTCAAACAAATTATTGACTTACAAAAAAAATTTTAATTTGACATTTATTTTAATTTGTGCATCTATTCACCCCCACTAGATGTCATTTGTCTAACATTAATATCTCTTAATTTTCAAACTTAAAAGTTTAAATATTAATGAATTATTTTATTTTATTTTTTTATTCTATTTCTCGTTCATTTTTACACTTTTTATTTACATTTTTTCCTTAGTTATACTTCTTACAATTTTTTTAAAATGTTTCATTGAACAATTATTAAAATTTTATGATTATTTTGTTCATATATAAAATTTAAATTTTAGAATTTTGTATGTATTAAATTTATGTGCTCATTAATAATATAATATTATATAATGATGGGTGGTCATAAGGTTATTTATTCTTAAAAAAAAAAAACTCTTTCTAAAGTTATTCCACTTACACACTAAATTGTGCTAATCTGACTATTAAATTTAGATAAATAACAAATTCTAATTATATAAATCTATATAATGATATACATTTTTGTTTTAAAAATATGTAAAACATTTATTCTGTCAAAGAGTCAATTAGTTTTAAGATTACATAATTTTGTTTATTCCAAATATTATTATAATATATATAGAGAGATATTAATATGATTTAATTATAGTAAATGTATAGGATGAATCTTGCCGTTTGGATACAATTCTAAATTCTAACATCATAGTACCATCACATAAAATACACATAGTAACGTATAAATATAAGTTTTTAGCATATTATCATGAGTTCTAAGAATAATATATTTCGAAAAAAATTATTTAAATAAAATTTATATAAATTTATTTGTTTAAATATATATTTTATTTATATGTAATTTTTCTTTTCTTTTTATAAATTGTTCTCTTTTTTATTTTATTTTTATTTTTCTCTTTTACTTTATTTATTCTCTTAATTAAACTACTATATTAAAATTTAATAAAAATATGTTTTAAAAATAATATTAAAATTTAAAAATAATAATTATTTAAAATAATAAACATACATAATTAGATAAATAAATCTAAAAATATTTTTAAAATATATATTATTTATGATATTGATTTTTTTATTAATAATTTAAATTTTTATTTATGATTAGAATATTTGAAATAACATGTAATAATATTATATATATTTAGCATATAGAATGATTTGGATTTACGAGTAAGTTTTTTAAGGTAATTGTGATAAAGATGAATAAGTTAATTTCATATAATAACGTGTGTTTTGATAATAAAAGAAAAATATTTTTACAAATGTAATATGGTGGAGTTTGTCTTGAAGTAGAGTCAATGGCTAACATTTTTGTAGCAGTGATATTACGTCTTAAAGCAGTTTGTTAACAGAGTTTTTGTCTTCTTTTGGTGTTTATGGAGTACAGCTTTATGACTTGACCTTCAAATGAAACAATGAATTATTTTATCGATTTCCAGAAGAAATCTTTCCCCTATCATTCATTTGAAAATGATATGCCCCATATTTGGATATTTAAATGTCATCGCAAGTGTATAGTCTGAAACTCATTTAAGTCATAAGCATAGAATGTCGGCAAGGACACTCACTCATCACTCATCACGCATCACCTCTCGCGTATCTTCCAGCTAACGTTCCATGAGATAATATAATACTAATAAATATATAAAATATATTAAAAAACAATTATATTTTATATCCTAATATTATTAAAATAAGCTGAACTATATAACTCATTATCTTTCCTCGTTTGGAAGAAGATATTTTTATATTCTTGTTGAAATAGATTTTGATGTTATGTTAAAAATTAGAAATAAAAATTATACTCATTTATATAATAATATTATATGAAATCTCATCCAACATGAATAATTTTTTTATATTCTAACATCTCATCAAATATATAACAAATTTTAATATTTATGAAAATTAAATATTTTAATATAATATAATTTAATATTTTGTGCTATTGTTATATTATACTGATGTATTTAATATATATGTATATATATATATATATAATTTGTTTGGATGTGTAGAAACAATAATGAATATTAGTATATATTTAAATAATTTTCAATTAAATATGAATGTGTCTTCCTATAAAAGATAACTCATAATGATGAGTTGACGTTCTCACATTTTTTTTCTTTTTAATTGTGGTGCTAATAATCTTCTATTGAGATTCTTTTTTTTTTTAATTATCTTTTGTGAAGGATTTAAAAAAAGATAGTCCACCCAAATCTTCTTAATTTATGCTCCGGGATTCATTTATCTTTTAAGTCACAATTTATCAATATTTTAATTGAATTATTTAATCTTGCAAATAAACATTATTACAATATACAGCTCAAAATTTATTATTATTATTATTGTTGTTATTTTATATTTATAAAAATAATAATATTAAAAAAATTTAAACAACTTGATAGTTTTGTTTGATTACTTTTTGTAATATATGGTTCAAAACATAATTTTCAAAGCTACGTAATATTTATTTATTTATTTATTGAACTATTTCGCTAGATTAGCTATATGATAAAATGTTTTTTTTAAATAATTAATACGGTTGAGACTAGTAATACGAGACTAAACAAATGAAAAATTTACAGTAAATATTTATTCAGCAATGATAATAAATATAAAACAATCTAATTTTTATTATGAGCATACATCATTTACAATTATATATATATATAAAAAATCACAATATACCATTAAATTGTTCATTTGAACTTTATATACATTTGAATCCCGGTTGTCCAATTTTAATTACAACATCATTTGTTTAAATATAAAAATCAACGATTTAAATTGGAATTTGGTGTAAGTTTATTTTCAGTCCTCTAATTTAAAAATTGGTATTTTTAATTTTTAATTTGAATACTAAATTTTTAGTTATTTACCCCAACTATCGTTGAATTTTTTTTAGTAATATGATAAACTACTTCAAAACTGCATTAATTTATAACCCAATATTTAAATTTTGTGTTTATTTTTAAAATATTAATTTTGACAATGTTTATATATAAGGCATTTAGATTGGATTATTATAATATTCTTTTAAATTATAAGAACTAAAAAAATTAATTTTTAAATTGAAAAATCATAAATAAAAACCCAGTTAAATATTATATACAAAACTATATTTAAATAAAAAAAATATTATGACGATAATATATATGTTAAATTAGTTTCTAATAGAAATTATTTTATACGTTCTTAAATTCAAAGAAAGAATTTTGAATCATTGAAAGAAATATCATATAAAATTTCACACATTTATTACTATGTATTTTTTAATAAGGCAGGTTAAAAGTTATAAATATTTACACTATTATTAATTTAAATTTATTGGAGATGTCATTAAGATTTTATCTTTATAAAATTTGCTCTTTTTATTTAAACGTTTCTTTCTAATACTTACAAATATAAAAATTATAATCATGTGAACAACTAAACTCAAAATGCGAATGTTGGAAAAATATTATAAGAAAATAAAAAATATATAATCAATTATTGTTCAAAATGAACTAAATAGTCCTACAGAGTTTAAATCTAAAATATATTTGATTTCATGTTAGTTCACAAGAAGGATTAACCTCTCAAAATGGATACACGTAGTTTGAAAAAAATGGTTCGTTTTCCATATTATTTTACAATAAAATAATCTCCACTTGATACTAATTACTTGTAATATGTCAAATTTCGTTATTTTTTAATATTAAATATGAAGATTATTATATTTTTGCTAAGAGGACCTCACCTTATAATGATTAAACTACTCATTTGTTTCATGTTAGAGTAATGATAAATATAAAATTTCTATTAATTAGAAGCATTTCATTAATATTTTTAACATTTCTATATAGCCAACCATTAAGTATTTTTATAGAAAATAAAAATAAATAAATGAAATCAACTCACCTAAACTAAAATTAATTAATTTACAAGAATGAAAGTGTTGCACGTAAAAATGGTGTGGAGAGTTAGTGCCGCCGATTTCATGGTAAGAAAAGCTCAGTTAATTCTGAGACAAACAGATTGAAGTCAATTTGATACTACTAATTGAAAGTAGGAAAATATTTAGCAATTATAAAGACTTCACAAAGAATGCATGTAATCAATGTGGGATATTTTGCAAAAACTTAGAGGTGGAGTTGCGAGGGGAGTTTTGGGCTATCAAATCGAGATTGTATGATGAGCATGGTGTTTAGAGGACCCGCCTCGTGCAGAAGCCAGTTGTTAGCAGCCATGCAAAGCAAGGGTATCCTCCGTACCATTACGCTGTTCCAAGAAATGGCATATATATCTCCTGATTTGGCATGGTTTAAACCCCATGCACGAAGAGTATTGATATACCACATCTACAAAAGGTATCACACAAGGGCCTTGTTTCGAAACTTGTACCAATAAATACCATACACTACACCAGAGGGAGAGTTTGCCGCGTGCCACCCTATAAACCACGATAACCACCTATCAACTCGCCTACAGTCTCCTCCAGACAAAGTTTCAAACATCAGAGCACATGGTGTTTGCACGTACGCATGCATGCATGCCCAATAATTTATGACCAGAAGAAGCCATGAAGGACTAGACCACCTTTTCCATAAGAGAAAAGAACAAGAGTTCACGATCTTGCGGACATGATACCTGAACCCCCAAGATATTGTTTTGGTCAAGAACAGTAGTGTTCCAATGAATCTGGCTCAGTTAAATGGAGATCTATATATCACTCTTGAAAACTTGTGTTGGCATAGCCAATGGTTGTAACAGTTGATGAGTTGAGATGCTTCCTTGTAAAAACCCTACTGAATACAAAATAAAAATCAAGTGCTTTAAATTATATATGTTTCCAGTTGTTTCAACCATGTTTAGTCTGTCTTAATATTTTTTAAATAATTTATATTAATGAAAGCTTTTAACTTGATAAAGAACATTTTATATATAATGAATAATTTTGTTAATTTAAAATTTTTTATTTATAAAATATATGTTTTTTTTTATTCTATATATTTATACCATTGTACAAAGGAATCTTTTGGTGTTATAATTTATAATTATTTTTTGTGATATATTAGGGATAAAAAAGTGAGTTAATATAAGAAAAATAATTACTACTTTATTTAAAGAAGAAGAGAGAAAAGGATTTGATATATAAACAGTGAAAAAATGTATAACACCTATAAAAATGATGAAAAAAGAATGTGATATATTTTAAAAAAATAATATTAACATATAATTATTTTAAAAATTAATTATAATATATATATATATATATATATATATTATTTTTACTTTCTTATATTTAATCGATTTTATAAGCACTATATATAGTTTTTTATCCCACGTATCTCTCCTTGAGTTGTTGAACGAGTTAAAATAAATCTCAGAATTTTATATTTCATATATTAAGTAATTTTTTATGAGACTAATTCACGTTATTTTTTTTTCAATTAAAATATGATATTCTTTATAGGCTATTGCTTTCAGTTAAAAATAATATTTTCGCTTATCATTATTTTCATCACCGTTTTGTTAGCCTCTTAGTGTTCATTTGTTACATATGAAATAAAATAATTAGCATTCTATAATGAAAATGTTAGTTATTTGAGGAAATATATTTTTACTTATGAATTATTCATATTCTAAATTTATATTAATGCATAGAAATATAATACTAACAAGTTGAGATAAAATAGTACATTTTTATGGTCTTATTTGGATACATATTTCTTTATAATTTCTTTTAAAATTGTGAAAAAAAGTACGCTTAATTTTTATAGATAAATTTATTTGCAGAGGTCTTATACAGTATGTTAGAAATAATAAACGTTATTCATACTCAACTTTGTCTATTTTACTTTCTTCGCCTTTTTTTTTCTCCCTCTATCATATTAATTTCTAAAATAAAATGAAATAAATATCAATTCTGTTCTTTACTATAACTATTTCCTTTGAAAATTATTATTTGGGCCGTATCTATCTCAAGTTGGATTAAACCAAACACACTTTCTTTCTTTCGTTTGGGCCAACTTCAGTCCACATTCTACTTCTCTCAAATTTGGGCCTCCTAAATTCAGCAGAATTTTTTAACTATCTATTTTTTCCTTGCTTTTTATTTATTTTGTCTTTATTTTAGTCACATCTTGAGTATGTTCTTGTTCTCCTTCTTTTTGGATATTGAGTCATTTGAGCCCATTGGATTAATATAAAAAATTATAAATAACAATTAAATGTTGAATGTTAATTTTTTAAATTATATAATAGATAATTAATAAAATATTAAATAATATATTAAAAATTTAAAAAGAAAAAAAGAAATGAAAAAGAAATTTCATTTTCTTATAATTCTTCGTAATTATAAAACTGTCCAACTGAGTTCGATTTATTGACTTACAACAATGTACAAAATGAATTAAGTATAATAAAAAATTTATGATACAAAATGAATTGAATATATAATAATATTTTTTATTAAAATATATAAATATATTATAATTTATATCAAATTATTATATTTAATATTAAAATTAATTTCATTATAAATTAAATTTATATATGTATATATATTTTTAAAATTATATTTAAAATTTATTGAATAGGTCAAAACAGTCTATTGGTACATTATAAAGTTAGATTCTAATTAAAAAATTGCACTTTATTTAAAATAGGAACAGGTGAAACTCACAAATTTCCTAAGCTAGTTACTTATTTAATTGTTATAATATCATGTATTATTATCATTGTGACAATTTTTTATAATGATATTATTAAAGTTTTTTAAAATATTAATGGATAACGTAATTTCTAAAATATAAATTAATGCATAAGTATATTCAAAAGTAAAACTACTAGTAAAGTTTCTTAAAAGATATTATTAAAATTCCAAAATAAAGAACTTTGAATAAATATATTATCTTTATTAAATAAAGCTAATTCGGGACAGCAATATTAAAGAACTAAAATGCAAAGACAGAAACGACATTGTTAAGGGGAGGAAAGAAAGGAAGGATCAAGAAGGGTGGTAGTTTCCAAGAGTCCCAAAAGTAATTGATTAAAACAATTTTTTTTGCGAGGAGAGAAGAAGAAAGGAGGAAAACACAGAGAGCTCGGTTCGCAGCAATGGACGAGCTACTCGTAGCAGTACTCTCGATGCTTCTAGTCGTTGCGTTGATCCCACTCTACCTATGGAAACGCCGTCAGGATTCTCAACCTCCACCTCACCGCGACGAACCTCCTCAGGTTTGCACCTTCTTCCAACTCCATCGCTCTTCCCTCATTTTGCCCCCAAAACCCTAATCGTTTTGATTTCAATGCCGTAACCGAATTGTTTAATCATTGATAACCAATTGGCAGGCTCCGCTGAGAGAAACCGTGGTGCGCTCCACCGCCACTCGTCGCATGCGTCGCCGACCTGCGGCGTCTGGAGCTAGCACGTCGGCAGATGCACCTGCTACGCTAGAAGGTTTATCGTTTTACACTTTTTTTACTTGTTTATTTTTAATTTTATTTGTTTCGTGTCTATGTGTAATGTAATTATGCCTTGGTAAATGAAAATGTTCAGAGATCAGTTGTTTCCGGTTAAGAGAATGTTTGCATTAACTTCGAGAAAAATAAGAACTAAAAGTAGAATTATCTTTTGGAAGAATTAATATAAAAGAATTTCCATTAGCTTATTATGTAAAGCAAATATTAACACAGAGAGAAGTGCATTCCATTTTTTTCTTCATATTTTTCTTATTTTAATAGAAGTGTTTATAGAGAATTTTGTTGAAAATGAACCTAAGGAGGGTTGATGGATGTGAAATAATGGAAGTTTGGTGATCTTTGTGTGTTTAGGTTTTTGTTATCTTGTTATGTACGTCAATATTATTCTATTATTAGTGTTTAGGTTAGAATGAGATATAGAGACAATTATACCTGTGGAGTCAACTGCTTGACTTATGTTTTACTTAGCTAAACTTCTCAATAAACATTTACAGGAAAAAAAGGGTAAAATAAATTATTTTTTTCTCATAAATCAAAATTAGTTTATGTATAAACCATTTTATTGATGTTTTTTCTCTTAGATTCTCCAAAAGCTGATCTTTACTTACGTATAAGCTAAAATAATTTTAATTTTGAGAGAAACTCATTCATTTTACCCTTTTATTTTTTTCTCTTATAAGTGCATATTGAGAAGTTTATATGGAAGTACTGTTGGACTGGTTGGTGAATGGAAGTATGCATATTGAAACTGGGTTGCCATTTTGAAGTGATGAGCTGTATGCATGTAAACAGAATCTGCTGGTGAGAGTGACGATGAAGCTGCTGGTGGAGGTTATTATGAGGCTAAAGCATCAAAGAAAAAGGAAATCAAAAGGCAAGAGAGGGAAGCACGGCGTCAGGTATAAATTTTTTTTTAGAAATTGGTACAATTATTTTTAGGGTAATTATGTGGACACCGTATATCACAAATACTCCATTAACACCTATTATCTCTCCCAATCACATCACCTATCATACCTACGCTTCTCTCTCTATCTATCTCTAGGTGTCAACTAGCATGGTGATGTCCGCCCATAGTTTTCCTTCTATTTACTTGAGTATATCTTTGGCTGGATTCTTGCCGTTTGCACCATAGTTTCTATACTAATTTACCAAAGGACCATATTGTTTGAATTTGATTTACCAAAGGATGGTTTCTTGAAATGAAAGAGGTTACCTGTATTTGAAAGTTTAGTAAAGGACACTGGCTCAATGTATCGATTCTATATATTATTATTAAAATGGTCCATTTTCTCTACAAGATTCACTCTCTTCTGAGAATGCTTCATGCCTAAATGGGATTTCTGTAATTTTGTTAAAAAGAATGGTCATTTTGTTTTAACCTCCGTTTATTGTTTTCTCATGCAGTGTGCATGGCTACTGTCCCTAGTTTGTATTTAATTATCAAGCTAATACTTGTAATGTTGAGTGTTGGATACAAGGCTTTGTAGAATAGTGGACAGAATTTGTACTCAGATAGGGGTGTTGAGTGGTAATTCACGGCAACTCCCCTTCCTGGCCTCTCCAGGGCATTATTATTTATTTTTTGAATTTTTATGCTTAAATTTAAATGGCTATATTTTGGTCTTTCTTTTTGGAAGGCCGATGAATCTGCACGAGAGTCAAAGCAGGCAAAACAAGATCGTTATTCGGAAATGCGGAGGTTGAAGGATGAGGAGCATGAGGCACAGGAGCGTAAGTTGGTGAGATCATTACCTTGTTCCGATTTGATTTTAGTATCAACTTTCTTATAGCTTATATTAACTTGCAAAGCACATGCTTTGTCATGATTCATGTAGGAAGAAGAAGCCAAAGCTCAGAAGGCTAAGGAGGAGGAGGCTGCTGCATTAGAATTTGAGAAGTGGAAAGGTGAATTTTCGGTTGATGACGAAGGTACCCTTGAAGAAGTGCAAGATAGTGTTGAAGACTTGCTAGCCAATTTTGTTGAATATATAAAGGTTATTTTCCATTTTTTAATTTATACATTCATAATTTCCTTGGCTTTCCCTTACTAGATTTGCCAAAATTTGTGCATGGGAGAAATAAAATTTAATTAGGAATTTACTAGTGTTATCATTGTCTCCTTTAAAAAGGTTTTATAGCCATACTAATTTAGACTTAATTTTTGTGTAATAATTCAGAAGCACAAATGTGTTCCCTTAGAAGATCTTGCTGCAGAATTTAAATTGCGAACACAGGTATTTCTTTCTTATTTTCTTCCCTTATCTGAATCATCTTCTCTACACAAGCTGATCCCATTTCCCTATTTCTACTAATACATGTGAGTATGTGACTACTGCTACACTACTGCACAATTTTCGGTATTGTGCTATTATATAATCCACCATCAATTTCTGTTCCCAAATAAATAATAGGACAAAAGTATAGTTTGATTTTTTATTTTTTTTTGTATTGTAAGGAAACTGTTTAAAACCATGTGTTTAATAGATGATGCCACTTCAATCTGATATCATAGAAAAATATAAGAATTCTGGAGTGGAGAGATGGAGGAAGGGCAAATGGAGATTTAAGGCAGAGTGAACAGAGTATTCTACTAATTACTGAGGGTGTTTGTTTCACATCATCTTTTTTTATTCCCGGGAAATGTGAAGATTAAATAAATATTTTTACATTTGGTAGGCAGTGATGAAAATATGTTCTCTGGTATCTTAATTTCCAGGAAAATGTCTCTTTCGCATTATACATTTTTATTATTCCTATGAGAAGGGTTGGGTATCTGATTTTCCCATTGGACTAGATGTTATTGTTTGCAATAAATACCTATTTCCATTAGATTCTTCGCACTTTATTTTATTAAAAAAAAATTATTAAATTCCAACCACACATGTTTATGGAAATATCATTCCTGGGTATAATATTTCAAAGAATATGATCCTAAGAAGACAAAATGATACCTTGATGCAAACACCCCTATAAATGGTTCAATATATAAGGGATCATACAGTTCTATTCATCAAGGTTGTTAATTTGTGCCAATCCTTTTAGTTTTCTTGTGTCTCATTGCTCAATTACGGACAATTAGCATAGTTGTTGTAGGATTGCCAGGAAGATTATGGGATCCTAGTTTTCGTCCTTCTCTGTTCTTTATTACAGGGAGGATTGTATGAACCCATTTTCCTGAGCTTTTGGGCCCTAAATATATATTTTCTTCTTCATGTGACAGCCCTGAACCCTTCTCCCTAGTCTGATCCTACGACCCACCACTGCTGATTTGAGAACATGAATCCCTTAAATCCCATTTGTCTCAATCTATAAGAATTACCTGACCTCCCTCTTCGCTCTTTGACCTGACCCCTCTCACTCATACTTCACTGACAACTGAAACACTACTCAATGATGGCTCAACATCTTCGTTTCTTTGCCCCTGATTATTGCAACTCAATTCTACATTTGAAGCCCTACTGTTTCTAAAGCCACATATTGAGTTTCTTCGGGGCCTTTGTTTCAGATTAAGCAAGTCTTGTATTTTTGGACTGGCTTTTGTCTAGTTCCCTATTTTAACTGTTTTTTTGACTTATAATAATCATTATCAAATATGAAATAGATTATAATTTCAATAATACAAAAACCATGACATAAATATTAAAATTCTTCCTTGAACTTCAGTGGTATAGTAAGGTATATGTTACTTTATTTTATTATCATATTTTTATGTTAAATGATACTTTATATTTTATGGCAGGATCTTATGATCTGTGCTAAAGTCCCATGATTTATGATCTTTCACCCCTTTCTTTATATTTGCTCGTGTCTTAGATTTAAATTTTTTTTTGAGTTAACTATTGCACACAGAAACTAGGTAGTTGTATTTGTGTTTTCTGGAATTAACAAAAAGAAAAAGGATGCTACAAAGATCAGACAGCAGAGGGTGATCGCAAACAAAGTCCCTCATAAAAGGCTACCTCTCTCAATACAAAATACAGAGGCTTAATTAAACCCTTAAAGAGTTTGTTCTCTCAAACACATTCAATACCAATTACTCATGAAATGTAGACACTTCCATGTAGAACACCAGCTGATAACTTTTGCAAATCCAGCATTGGTGTAAATGACTGTCTTAAGACACAAATGCTGATAATTCAGATACATAACTTCCTCAATTACTGTTGTATCAACCTAAACTGTTCTATCAACCACCTTGCTATTTATACTAATACTGGAACAGAATAATTAATTTGGGTGCACTACAGGTAATGAATAAACAAAATGCGTCACTCCCTCCAAGTACTATTAATTTCATTATCAACTGTTTTGCATTACAAACCACTCCCTTCTGGTTGAAGATCGGAAAAATAATTCATGTTCCCATTTTTGGGAGAATAGATACAGGCGATTTAGGTTGAATTATAGTTCCATTTTGGCACATAACTAGTAATTTACTCTTTTTAATTTTATGAGTGTTAGCCTAAGTGATGATAGTTTCTTACTACCGAAGCCCTATATTATACTTTGTTTGAGATACTATCAATATGTTTAAGGATGAATATTATTACAGTTTGTACTGTACTGTCCGAGTGATATCTTTTTCATTTATGGGCTTCCTTTTTTTTTGTACTGATGCAGGAATGTATCAATCGCATCACATCTCTGGAAAGTATGGGTAAGAACCTTGGTAGTTAAATTGTCTTCCATCATAACAAGTATCTATTTTCATTCCCCATTTTTTCCTTTTCGATTTTTGTTTTTTACATCACCTACACCCCTCTGGAACTCATATATAGCCAATCTGCCATTTTTTATGGCAATTCACTGGCAAGGCTTTAATGTGGAGGAAATATTTGACTCAATTGGGGTTCCAAATATACATACATATATACATACATATATACATACATACATACATATATATATATATATATATATATATATATATATATATATATATATATATATATATAATTTATAACCCATTGTCACTAGTTACAGGTTCTTAGTTGCTCATAGCCAAGGACAATGTGCCCTTTTCTTAGCCTTGTTAATCTAATTATTCTTTTGCGGGTTGTTGAACGAACAGTAAATTTTTTTCTTTTTCCTGCAATCAACGTGTATACATTTTGTTGAGTTCTGGTATGTTGCGTCAAAGTTAGTGTTTGAGTTGTCCACAATATTTCATCATTAATGTATCCATTTTTTTTAAATCTGGTTATTGTTCTGTTCTGACTTTGACATCTAATAAATAAATATTTTGCATCCAGAAAGAATTTATGTTACCTTTGTAGTAGTCATAGCAACATATTCTTATTGGAAAAAATTTATTGAAAATTACCAAATCGTGTTACTAAATAAGAAGAGAGAATTTGTGTTTTCCTACTAATTTCAACAAATAGTTTGAGAGTATTAGAAAATCGTGTTAGGGGATGTGTTGTTAGGATATCTCTTGGACATTATCTTTACATGATTCCCTTTGTAGACATTCCTCCACTAAGATTCAGTTTGTTTCATCTTTCAAAATGAAAGATAAATTAAGTAGCATTGGATAAAAAAAATCAGGTTTATAATTATTTGAAGGAGCTATTTAGTCGCATTTGGAAAAAAAAAAAACTGTCATTATGACTGCATGTTTAAAATAAAAAGTTTTTTGTGATTATAATAATCCAAACATAATATAACTTTTAGCTCTTAATAATATTTCCCAAGAAAAGTCACTTTGTTTACTACCCATCTAGATTAAACTAATGGGCCTCAAATTAAATTCTTCCCCGTCCGCCCCTTCCCCACCACCAAGTATGCTGTTTTTCTTTCTCTCTTTTTTTATGATATTTACAACTTGATAGAATTAAAATTATTATACGTGCCTTTTTTTTTTCCAAGATTATGATAATGATTTAATTTTGTGCATCAGGTCGGCTTTCTGGTGTTATGGATGACAGAGGGAAATTTATTTACATCTCCCAAGAAGAGATGAAAGCTGTTGCTGATTATATTAAGCGGCAAGGGAGGGTTAGCATTTCCCACTTAGCAAGTAAATCAAATCAGTTCATCGATTTAGAGCCTAAAGCGCAGTACACTGAGGGCATTAATATTGGGGACGAGATCACTGTCAACTGAGTTTTTCTTTGACTTAAGGAATGGGAGGAAACTGGTGGTGTACATTAAAAAAAAACACAGCAATGATCTGGTTAGCTTAGGGTCTGGTACATGACATTGAACAGCTTTAGTATAACAGCATTTCAGATTTTTTTTTCCTTCCGAAAGTAAACCAAATAAAAAGATCGTATTTCAAGAGGCAGGTCTACATGTCTGAAGATTAAATTCTCCCAAACACTATTTTTGGTAATTGTAATACATTTTATTGGCCTTTGTAACAATTTTAGCATTACTTGCAGACCCACGACATTAGGATACCCGATGGAGAAATTTGAAACATTTGATACATTGAAGTAAGAAAGTTAAACAAGAGAGAAATTCAAACCATTGTTCTTTTAACGGGAGTTATTGTTGAGCCATTTGAAGAGTTGCGCCTATTATACAGGAAAGCTATTTGTTTATTTATTTATTATTTAGTTACAAAAGAGAAGGAAACTCAAAGGACCATATGGCTAGGTTCGTCTCATCTCTTCTGCTAAGTCTGGTTCTCTAGTAGCATACAAAATCTCCAATTCATTGCTTGATAAGGTTAGAATATCCACACACTGGTTAGGTCTCTTAGAATATGTTACATCGACCAGTTCCATGGTCGTTTGTATTGTAACAAGCCTTTTATCCGAGTCACCATATTACTGTATCAATGAAGGACTTTATCTCTGCTATGACTAGTGACGACACTCAAACAGAAGGGAAACAATTTAGGGTTAGGTTTTAAGAGTTGATTTGATTAGAAAACAGAAAAACATAAAAGATACCGTAGGCGCCATAAATAAGAATATTTGATAAGTCAAGAAGGATCGCCACAAGAATCGAATAATTTTTGATAAGATCAAGTGATGCAAGGAAGAACCCTAGCAGAGCAATAACTCACAAAGTAATCTGAATATTACGTGCGTTCCTTCTGAATTCTCAAATGTTTAATACAACTTAAGTTTATGAGTTTGTCTCATTGCATGAAATAAAGATAAATTAAAATCCTAATATCACAAGCAAAGTTAAGTTGCCCAGATGGTTCAGTGAAGGTATTATAAGCTTTGGGTTTTGGGTTCAAATCCCCATTGTAGCAAATAAAATATTAATAATAATAAAAACTAAATCTTTTAGTTGGGCCTCCTAGCTCTCCAAACATTCTATGCATGTGATAGGTCTAGACTCCTCCATGTTTGGATCTTTTAATAGTTGGACCTTTAGCAAATTGGTCACTTTGTATTGCAATGCCTCTTGTGTTTTTCTGAGCCTACCTCTTGTCATAGGTCCACCTAAGTCTTGGATTGGATCTTGGTCTTGATCCTTCTTGTTATGGGCTTGGGCCTTTATGTCCACATCATTCCCTTCTTCTTGGGCAACATTTGTTTTCAAATCTATGAATTCATCTCCTGCATCAAAAGGAGTCAAGTCAGCAACATTAAAAGAAGAACTTATATTATACTCTTCTGGTAGATCAATCTTATAAGCATTATCATTGATCTTCTCTAAGACTTGGAATGACCCATCTCCTCTAGGTTGAAGTTTAGACTTTCTTTGTTCAGGAAACCTTTCCTTTCTCATGTGTACCCAAACCCAATCACCAGGTTGGAACACCACCTTTTTCCTACCCTTGTTAGCTTGCCTCGCGTAGCTCTCATTCTTCTTTTCAATTTGAGTTTTTACTTGCTCATGCAACTTCTTCACATATTCTGCTTTAGCCTGTGCTTCCTTATGCTTAAACATAGAAATGTTAGGAAAAGGCAACAAATCAAGAGGAGTCAAAGGATTAAATCTATACACAATCTCAAATGGTGAACAATTAGTGATGCTATGGATAACCCTATTATAAGCAAACTCAACATGCGGTAAACATGCTTCCCAAGTCTTAAGATTTTTCTTTAAAATAGTCCTAAGCAATGTGCCCAAAGTCCTGTTGACTACCTCAGTTTGACCATCAGTTTGTGGGTGACAAGTAGTAGAAAACAATAATTTAGTACCAATCTTACCCCACAAGGTCCTCCAAAAGTGACTAAGGAATTTTGAATCCCTATCACTCACAATGCTCTTCGGCAACCCATGTAGCCTTACTACTTCCTTGAAAAACAAATCAGCCACATGACAAGCATCATCTACCTTCTTGCAAGGTATGAAATGTGCCATCTTAGAAAACCTATCAATAACAACAAACACATAATCCTTTCCATTCTTTGTTTTAGGCAGCCCTAAAATAAAGTCCATAGAAATGTCAGTCCAAGGATATTCAGGAACAGGTAAAGGAGTATACAACCCATGAGGCTTAACCTTAGATTTATCCTTTTTACACACAATACAGTGATCACAAAACTTATTCACATCACGTTTCATATGAGGCCAAAAGAAATGCTCTTGCAAAATTTCTAAAGTCTTTTGAATCCCAAAATGACCCATCAAACCCCCTTCATGTGATTCACTCACAAACAACTCTCTAATGGAACACTTAGGCACACACAATTTATTTGCTTTAAACAAGAATCCATTATGCCTAAAGTAATCATTTTTAGAAAACCTTTCACATGCAGCAAAAGTTTCAGCAAAATCCACATCATTCACATACATGTCTTTCAAAGATTCAAGACCAAACAATTTAGTTTCAAGCATAGAAAGTAATGCATATCTCCTAGAAAGTGCATCAGCTACTACATTCCCTTTTCCCTTTTTATGCTTGATGACATATGGAAATTGCTCCAAGAACTCAACCCATTTGACATGCCTCTTGTTTAACTTACCTTGTCCCTTTAAGTATTTCAAATATTCATGATCACTATGAATTACAAACTCTTTTGGTAAAAGGTAATGTTGCCAAGTTTGTAAAGCACACACTAAGGCATACAATTCCTTATCATAGGTGGGATAGTTTAGGGCACCCCCATTCAACTTCTCACTAAAATAAGCAATTGGATGACCTTCTTGTAGCAAAACAACCCCAATACCCACATTAGATGCATCACATTCAATTTCAAAAGATTTTGCAAAATTTGGTAATGCAAGAATGGGGGCATTAGATAGTTTGTGCTTAAGTTCAGAAAATGCATTTTCTTGTTTTTCACCCCATTTAAACCCAACATGCTTTTTTACTATTTCATTAAGAGGTGCAACCAAAGTACTAAAATCTTTAACAAACCTCCTATAGAAACTAGCTAACCCATGAAAGCTTCTCACTTCACTCACATTCTTAGGGGTAGGCCACTCTTGGATGGCTCTAATCTTTTCCTCATCAACTTGTACCCCTTTAGAACTCCAACAAATCCCAAGAACACAACATGATCAGTGCAAAAGGTACATTTTTCAAGATTAGCAAATAATTTTTCCTTCCTAAGCACATTCATGACAACACGCAAATGTTCAACATGCAAATCAAAGTTAGTGCTATATATCAGAATATCATCAAAATACACCACTACACATTTGCCTAAAAACTCTTTCAAGACATGGTTCATCAATCTCATAAAAGTGCTTGGAGCATTAGTTAACCCAAAAGGCATAACTAGCCACTCATACAACCCATATTTAGTTTTAAAAGCTATTTTCCACTCATCTCCTTCTCTAATTCTGATTTGATGATATCCACTTTTTAAGTCAATTTTAGAGAAGATACAAGCACCATATAATTCATCCAACAAGTCATCTAACCTAGGAATGGGATGTCTATACTTTACCGTGATGTTATTGATAGCTCTACAATCTGTGCACATCCTCCAAGTTCCATCTTTCTTAGGGACTAGAATGACTGGGACTGCACATGGACTCAAGCTTTCTTTAACCCACCCCTTTTGCATTAAGTCTTCAACTTGCTTTTGAATCTCCTTGGTTTCTTGGGGATTGCTTCGATAAGTTGGTCTATTAGGCAATGAAGCTCCTGGAATAAGGTCAATTTGATGCTCAATATCCCTAAGAGGGGGTAGACCTATAGGCACTTCTTTGGGAAAAACATCTTCAAAATCCTGCAACAAAGAAGAAACCTCTTTTGGAAGAGAGTTAGTAAAACATGGACTGTTTGATTTACTTTCTTTACTCAAAAGTAAAAATATTGGCTTTCTCAATTGCATAGCTCTTTTGACTTCTTTTTCTTTTATAAACAGATTTGATTTTTTTCTCTCTTTCTCTTTTTCTTCCTCTTTTTCCTTTTTCTTTTCACTCTCTTTTTCTTTTCTCTTTTCTCTCTCTTTTTTCTTTTCTTTCTTCTTTTCTTTTCTTTCTCATTTTCAGTTGATCCTCACTAACTTCTCTTGGAACCAAAGGTGCAAGAGTAGTTTTGCGGTCTTTATGCATAAAAGAGAACTTATTAGTGAAACCATCATGCATAACTCTCCTATCATACTGCCATGGTCTCCCAAGAAGTAAATGACAAGCCTCCACAGGCACTACATCACACAAAACAGAATCTTCATATTTCCCTATGGAAAAACCCACTTCAAGTTGCCTATTCACGGTCATCTCACCATCTTCACTAAGCCATTGAAGTTTGTAAGGTCGCGGGTGTGGCTTAGTCTCCAAATTCATTTTTGAAACCAACCGTGCACTAGCCACATTAGTGCAACTCCCACCATCAATGATCAAAGAGCACAACTTCCCTTGAATGAGGCACCTTGCGTGAAAAATATTTTCTCTTTGACAATCATCCAATTCAACTGATTGACTACCCAACATCCTTCTAATCATGAACAAATCTCCTTCTAACTCTCTTTCATCTTCATGCTCATTTTCATCACCAGATGAAGAATCTGAAGACGATTCACTAATTATTTCTCCATCCTCCTTAAGTAACATAGTCTTCTTAGTAGGACATTGAGAAGCTATGTGACCTCTTCCCAAACATTTGAAGCACTTAACCTCACTACTCCTTGTTTTCTTAAGTGCCTCATCAGACTTATTTTGATTTCTATGAGCTATAACATTGGAATTGCTTGTTGATGATCCTCCCTCCTTCTTATTTTTGTCCTTCCAACTAGGAGTGTGAAAATTAGATGAACTTCTCCTCATGACACCCTTTCTCTTTAATTGTTGTTCCACCTTTGAAGCTTGATGTACTAAATCCTCCAACTCAAAATAATTTTGCAGCTCCACAACATCCCTTATATCACTATTTAGCCCATGTAGGAATCGGGCCATAGTAGCCTCCCGTGCCTCCATAACATTAGCCCTAATCATGGAAACCTCCATCTCTTTGTAATATTCATCAACACCTCTACTACCTTGTATGAGTCTTTGGAGCTTGTTGTGAAGATCGCTTTGATAATGAGAAGGAACAAATCTTCTTCTCATCAATCTCTTCATTTCTTCCCAACTTTCCACCAATGGTTCTTCATATCTCACCCTTTCCCTTTGTAATTGGTTCCACCAAATAAGAGCATAATCAGTGAATTCCATGACTGCCACCCTCATCTTTTTATCTTCTGTGTAATTATGGCATGCAAATAGTTGCTCAATTTTTATTTCTCACTCCAAATATGCTTCTGGATCACTCTTTTCTTGAAAAGAGGGTATGTTCAGCTTTACTCCTTCAATTCTGTTATCTCTAACATCACCTTCATTATTTCTCCTTCTCCTCCTTCTACCTCCACCATCATCATCATTTCCTTGATTTTCTAGTTGTTCAATTCTCCCATACAACTCCTCAGTATGTTCTGTCAACATTCTTTGCATTTGGGTTGTAATGACATCAATCAATAATCTATTGTCACCCCTTAGAGGAGGGGTACCACCACCTGCACCTGCCATCTTTCAAGTAAAAAAAGAAGAAAGGACCAAACAAATGAAGTAATAGGACCTCACCACTCTTCTCACGTGTTTGCACTCAAAGATGTACCACTCGTGTTTACTCTCAATTTGGCTTTTGTATAATATGCACTCTTGCCTTTTTCCACTCGTTCTCTGACTTATGGTTCTTACAAGAATCAAACAATCTATAGTTCAAGAATCACTTTCAACTGTAGCAATCACAAGAAATAAAACAGAATTGTAATACCAACAAAGGACAAGTAGCAAAGAACAATTTTACTACTAATAACAAGCAAGACAAATTTAAACTATGGAAAAACAAAGATTAGACAAAGATGTTTGACACTTAGGAATTTTATCAAACAACTAATGTGCACTTGAAATTTAAAGAAAGAACAATTGTCACATATATATATAATTTTTTTTCTCGATTCTTTTCTTCTTTTGATTCTTTTCCTTTTTTGATTCTTTTCTTTTTTTTTTTTTATTCTTTTCTCTTTTTTTGTTGTTGTTCTTTTCTGCAGAAAACTAATTTCAAACACAACTTTGATATATATATATATATATATATATATATATATATATATATATATATATATATATATCTAAATGAAATTCAATATCAAAATTGCATAAACAATAATTTTTTTTTGAACAAGTATACTGAACAGATGATGAACAAGTACACGTGAACAGGTATAATGAACAAGATGCGTGAACAGTGACAATGAATATTAACGTGAACGAGTAACAATGAACGAGTACCCGTGAACGAGTAACAATGAACGATGACGTGAACGAGTGACAATGAACGAGCATCGTGAATAGTGCCGATGAACAGTGTAATGAACAGTACCGCTTTTGAACCCTGCTCTGAATACCAAATGACGACACTCAAACAGAAGGGAAACAATTTAGGGTTAGGTTTTAAGAGTTGATTTGATTAGAAAATAGAAAAACATAAAAGATACCGTAGGCGCCACAAATAAGAATATTTGATAAGCCAAGAAGGATCGCCACAAGAATCGAATAATTCTTGATAAGATCAAGTGATGCAAGGAAGAACCCTAGCAGAGCAACAACTCACAAAGTAATCTGAATATTACGTGTGTTCCTTCTGAATTCCCAAATGTTTAATACAACTTAAGTTTATGAGTTTGTCTCATTGCAGGAAATAAAGATAAATTAAAATCCTAATATCCCAAGCAAAGTTAAGTTGCCCAGATGGTTCAGTGAAGACATTATAAGTTTTGGGTCTTGGGTTCAAATCCCCACTGTAGCAAATAAAATATTAATAATAATAAAAACTAAATCTTTTAGTTGGGCCTCCTAGCTCTCCAAACATTCTATGCATGTGATAGGTTTAGACTCCTTTATGTTTGGATCTTTTAATAGTTGGACCTTTAGCAAATTGGTCACTTTGTATTGCAATGCGGATCTTGATCTTGATTCTTCTCGTTATGGGCTTTGACCTTTATGTCCACGTCAGCGTGCATGGAATCTGAGCAGCAAACAACATCCCTAAATTCTTTCTCATAACAGATTATTAAACCCTTCCATATTGCAAGCAGTTCGGTGAGGAGGACCGGTTGCGTAAGCAAATGCCCATAAAATTTGGCCATAATCTGCCTATAGAATCTAGTTATATACCTCTAAAACCCGTTCCTTGTTGATTTAACAGGCACTTCCATCAGTTTTGAGAGCAACAAGGCTCCACCCCACCTCATGTAGAGGCGGAATAAATTTTTAGGAAATGTAATATATTATTTTAATAAAAATATAGTATCAGGCAAATGCACTATCATCTCAATTGTGGCTAGGCGCGGATCTTCTTGGGAACGGAGAGGGGTTGTCGCACTCCAAAGTTTTATAACTCCTATGTAATTTATGATTTTACCTCCAAACTTAATAAACATTTAATATATTTACTTGTATATTTACAATTCTATTCTCTCAGTCCTCCTCAATTTTGTAACTCCCATGTAATTTATGACTTTGTCCCTTCAAACTTAATGATCATTTAATATATTTAAATATATATCTACAATTTTATCCTTTTATCCTTTCATCTTCTTTCTTTCTTTTATATTTATTTATTATTTATTAATAATATATTATTCCCCCACTGTCAATTGTCAAGATCCGCCCGGATTGTGGCATTACATCTTGGGCACCATATACAGGAAACTGACACTTTTAAAGGAAATCTTTCACCGGAAGTGCCTGCAGTCCAACCTGCCATAGAAAAAATTGAAAGGATGGGTAAATGGGTACTCAACATATCCATTTCCACTACCCGATCTCACTGTATATAACCCTGATTCACTTCAATTCCAAATTTATCTGTCCGTGTCATCTTCCGTCAGGATTGGTCGCCTAACAAAGATTAAATCCTTCACCTCAAGAGGTCAAGTTCCATACACCCTGCTTGCCCAAGTATTAAACCAAAAAGTTTGACTCAGCGCTACCAATGTTCACCGGGAAGCCATCCTTCAGCATCTCCATGGCCTTCAACAATAGCCTTCCTCGTTGTTTGTGGTGCTCTGAAAATATCCCTTCTTCTAAAAATAGTTATATAGAGACAGGAGCTTGCTAAACCATGAAGAAATATGCTAAGATCTGTCGTCAAACAATTATTTTCCAAATCTAACCAGCATGCCTCAACCTAATTAATTGAGTTGATAAAAAAATTCGACTAAATCAAATCTAATTCTTACATCTCTCCTTTGTCATGGGTAGCATCCATCAAACTTGCACTAATATTATTGGGCAGACAATACTATCTTTGTTTTTTATAATTAAATTAACAGGAACCAAGTAGTGCATTCTCAACAACCTATTAAAAAAGTATGAGCGATTACATAAAAAATATTAATAAAGGGTACAAAAGAAATAAATCTCATTCCATTTTTTTATCACCTTACATAAGTAATCTTATTAATTAACTATCACTTTTCTACGTATCTATCAATATATCATTACTCATCTCATTTTTGTTTGGGTGTAAGTGAATGTTTTCCCTTCCGTCCTATTTTTGAAAGTTGACACTAGTATTATCTTTCAGTCTATTAAAACCAAAGAAGCAATAAACGAAGAGAAGCATCATCGAAAATGAAGCTCTTTGGAGCATTTTGGGCCGCACCACCCCCCAAAATCCCAAAGTAATTCAAAACTAAAATCCCATGAGTTAGAAAATCAATAAACCTATGAACAAGAAAGTAAACATTCTGTTTGAAAAACGTATCTACATGAACTAACAATCCATACTCTAGCAACGTAGGTCAAACAAAAGGCCATCTAATTTAATATGAGCTAGATACGTACTGAACTTATATATAATAAGTCCCACACACAATCTTGTATCAGATACACTTATGTACTTTTACACAAAAAGGCTGCATCCTCATCACATGTATCGTTATCTCTCTGCTCAGTTTGTATAAACTCCTCCTCGTTGATGAGAGTGACCGTCACATATATATATATAAAAGCAGCCCCGAAGAGAAGGAAAATAAAGCCTTAATTTGAAGGCAGATCATCTCTAGTCACTCGTGCCAACCCTTTTAATTCTCTACTGTTTAATTTAGATCAGCAACAAACTCACAAACGCAGTGAATACGAGTGCGATGATACTGATGGAAGATTTATGCCCCAAATTTTTGGCTGGTCTAATTGGAGGAAGTGAACACTCCATTCCGTTGAAGTAAACCTTAGTGGGGAACCCATCTTTTGTGACATCAAAGTTTTTTATGTGCTTCTTGGTGAAAGAAACCACAGATTGTTGTTTCCCTGGCACTCTAGGGTCGTAAGCATATGTTCCATTGGTCTCTCCAGCCAAGTAGTTCAAACCCTTTAGGCCTTCTAAGAAAATGGTTTTGAGACCAGGAATTCTTGTCCCGTTGAAGGAATAAACATCTTTGAAATCCTCAAAAGTATTCTTCAACTGAATCGCGGTGAACCAATCATCAAAGGCGTAATCCTCCCAGTTGAAAAGTGTGATCCTAGCTGTCCATCCATCCTTGTGATCCGAACTCACGTGCCAGTTGATGCTGACGGGGCAGTTATCTGCACAAGGGAGCTTGCTAGGCATGTGCAGGTGTTTGAGTTTGGCCCATGCACGTGCCTTCAGGGTCCTGTTTGCAAACGGCACAAGAAGAGCCTCTGGTGGAAGAAGCAATGGAAAGGCTTTGGAGTTGCACTTGCTTGTGTCATCACAGCCACATGCACACGTGTTGCAAGGGATTGCTGATCCGTTGTAGAATGCTGAGAAGGAGACACAGCAACGGTTTTGCTGAGGCTTGGGTTTGGTTATGTTGCAAACTATTTGCCAACTTGCAACAGCTGTGGTGATTGCGCTTAGGCCACTAGGGTCAGGGAAAATCTGAGGGTCAACCCTTACCGGTGCACCACATTGGTAATGCGGATTGATGACACCATCGATGTTCCACTTTGCAGGGGGTGTGATGGAGGTTCTGTTATCAGTGTCTGGTGACATTTTGAACACTTGCATCTGAAACATTGACTTAGCTTTGTTCTTGTCCATGACCGGAGGCAAAACGGTGCCATTCCTGCAGCACCAAGGGAGTTTCCCAACCTTTTCATCTTGTGCTCTCTCTGCTGGAAGGTCAGAGATTGTTGGCTTCCTCTGACAGGTCGCAACTTCTGAGAAATCCATGTCCTTGTAGAATTTTCCCGCTGCGCCATACAAGCACTCAGAAGGGTCTTTTCTGCGAGCATAAGCTCCTTTAATGGAATATATGAACTCTCCCTTTGGCCATTCAAATGTCAAGTTCCAATGATCAAGACGACCCAATGGGTGTTTGTTCTCCATTGTCACTTGGACATAGTAGTTGTTCTGGAAAGCTTGAAGCACGTCGTATGCGATGGTTAGGTCTCCATACCTACGAGGTGGGTACTTGGTTGTTTTTGCTAGCTTTGCCTTCACTGTCGGGTCCTTTCTGCAACATGTGAACATTCTCGTGGCTGCACCATTCATTCACACGCATGTCAAACAATTCATACATATCGTGTTTAATTATAAATAGAGTCTTATTCTCCATGTCGTGTAATTGAAGTTACAACGTATCCTTTTCAAGTTCTACATGCTGAAATTGTTTGTTCCTAATCCTATCTTCTTAGGGGATTATGAAAGACTCGCAAATACATAACTATCATGCATATATAATGGCCCATATATAATATTATGTTGTGTGGCTCATTTTACATGTAACTAATGCTAGTATTACTCTCAATTTCCCATCTTTTTCACGTGGATCTACCTCGTTAAACCAATGCTTGTGTGGTTAAAACCATTTCATGTTATTTATTTACACCTTTTTCTTTTGTCTTATAGAGCCTCTTTTCATCTACACTCCTTCTATATATCATTATATCACATGCTTTAAGAGGAATATGTAAAGGAGGACAAAGTAAAAAGTTGCAAAAAAAAAACAAAGAAAAATAAATTTTGTTTTAAAAATAAGCATGCAAATTCCGGTATATTTCCTTGCTGCATTTTTACTCTATTACCACAACGAGATAGTTCATATCATTCAAAATTCGTTAGAAAAAGAATTAGCAAGAAGCATATTTTGCACGAAATAATACATCAAACTAATCACTTTAATTTTCAAACTACAGTATCAATCATTTAAAATTTTATCATTGCAATTTTATAATAAACTAAACAAATTATCTTTAATAATTTTGGAAAATAAAACAACAACTTGGTAATTTGGTTGATTGTGCATGAAATCCACGACGTGGGAGAAGAGAGAAACATGCATGAATGCATATATAAATATATATTACCTCGATGAGTAGGTGCAGGGCATTTGAATCCATCGTTCTCGAGAGTAATGGTTTTGGGCATGGGCGTGGCTCCAGCACCCAACCCAAACTGCGTCCCAACAATATCAATCTTGGCACTCATCTGGGTCAGATCCCCGGCGGTTTCAATGGCGGTCCTCAAGTCCGTCACGGCGGTCCCCACCAGCGTCGTCCCGTTGCCCACCGCAGCCGGAAAATCACCGGCATCGATGAGCACGGCGCCGTCCGCGGAGACCAGAATCTCGCGATGCTGGAACCCTATAAACATCTTCCACCCCTGCACCTCCTCATCTCCCACGTTCGTCAGCGTGGCTTCCGCCTTGAACGCCCACGCCTGCTTCGACACGTTCTTCACGTGCGGGTACTCCTTCTGCCGCCCCACGAGGGTGTACGACAGGAATATTCCGTCGCAGGCCTCGAGTTCCAGTGACGATGGTGGTGATGGCTTTTTCTCTGTTTGGGCTTGGGAGACATGGAGGCTCAAGAAAAGGAAGAGATGGGTTGTTAGTAATTTTATTATTGTTTTTTTTGTTGGGTAGGAGGAGGAGGCTTTCGATTTAGTAGTTTCTTCCATTGTGAAAGTTCTTTTTTTTTTACCTTTCTCTTCAATGTATCTAGCTAACTCCTCCTACTTTTTGTTCTGTTTTTTTTTTTTTTTTGTGTGTGTGTTTATGCTTTTTCTATGTGTGTGTTGTACGAGGAAGAATAATGGTGGTGATGGTGGCCCCGCGGGGACGCGGCGGCGTGGGAGGAGGTGAAAGTAGAATGAGGGGGGAAAGTGAAGGCATATATAATCTATTAAAAATGGGAGATTGAGAGTTATGTTCGGTTAGTTTGAGCGTGGGTTTCGGGGTAAGAGAACGTTTGGAAGCCATAATTGCAACAGAAATTATATTTACAAAACAACCTTCTTTCAATATTGTAATAATAATTTTAAGAATGGTGATATTTTGATAATTACAAATAAATTAAAATTATTATTATAATATTAAAAGAAGGTTGTTTATGGTATGAATTTAGGTTGTCAAATTATTATTTTTTTAATTTTAATTTATTTTTATTTTTATTAAATTATTTTTTAATTATTATATTAATAAAAATGAGTGGTTTTAAAAGTTGTATTTTTCTTTACTTCATACTAAGAACTTTTGTTGACCATATTTGGAATTAATTAACATGTGGTGTTCCTCATGTTCATTTACGTCCAAACCATTTTGTTTTTAGTTATGTTTTAAAAAATAATATATATTCTACCATACAATAATCTACCACTCAACTAAATAATATTATAATAATAAATTATTTTATTATTATTATAAAGAAGTGTCAAAATATAATTTTTCAAAAAAAAAGAAGAAGAAATAAATAACAACTGCATTCAAGTGAAATTAGATTTAATTTTGACCATGGAAAAAATAGTAAAAGACAAAGACTCCACTAGATTTTTTAACCAGATAAATTATTTATCAAATTGATATTTTACTCATTAAAATTCACATTAATTTGTTCTGTTAGTTTCTTAATGTCTTCTTATTAATATTCTTCTATTTAATAGTCCATGATAACAAGTATTTTGAGGTTACTTGACAAATACTTAATCATATGAAGAGTATGTTTGGATACGCTTTTCCATTAACATTTATACAAAATAAAAATAAGTTTCTCCATATAAGTTAAAACATGTAAAAATTAAATATAAGATTTAAAAATGTTAAACTTATAAACATAAAGTAATTTTAGCTTATGATTCTTTTTTTTCTCCTCTTAAAAAATGTATCGAGATATTTATCCAAATATAATTATTTATTTTAAAAATATTAAATATATTTTATAGTTTTAATATTTTTAAGAGTTTTATCTTAAAAAATTGTTACTGTTAAGGTTTTTATAGTATCAGTTCATTAGAAATTATTATGTTACACATAAATTTAAAACTATTATGAAAACAATATAACTTTACCATAAATTATTAGAATCTATAACTAGACAACTAAAAAACCAATCCAACTTAATTCCATTATTTATTTTTTTAATGAATTGGTTGGTGTTAACAATTTTTCTTGGCTATATTGGTAAGTAGAATTGAAAAGTGCGAGTTTTTAGGGTTCTAAGTAATTTGGTTGTCTTTGTTTTTTCTTCGTTTCAAACCAAATGACCCGTCAAATTTCTTGTTTGTTGCATTGTTTGGTTATTAATATTGGATTCCTTAACTGTTAGGGAAAAACGACACCGTATCATTGAGTTCACTCTCTATCACTTACTTTTGAATTTCTCATATATTTGAGTTCTCAACATTTAAATCTTAAAGCTTTCAAAATAAAATGACCAATATACTCGATATTCAACTATTTTCTCTTAATGGTAAAGTAGAAACTGAAATATTAAAAATATTGAAAGTGAAAAATGAAAAACAAAAGATGCAATTAATATTATAAATTATATTATAAAAAGTCAGAAATTTAAAGACCGAAATATAAACAAACAAACCCTTAATAAAATTATGAGGTGACTTAATCTGATAGAGTCGGATAGACATATTCTCATAAGTTTATATGAATCTCAAAATAAAATTGTAAAAGAATTTTTAAGCCTTTAATTGATTATCGCGTCTTTTAATAAATACTACTTAAGACATCGAAGGACACCCTTAACGAAAATTACTCCATAAAAAAGAGTAAAGAAAACTTATTCGAAAGAGGAAAGAAGAGAAGGAGAGGGGAAAACTGAAAACTTCTCTTATTGATGTAGATAAATTTACATGAGAGAGAGAAGTAGAGAGAAGAAAGAGAGATTTGGAGGAGAGAGAGGGGAGGGGAGACTTCGAAAGGACTCTGCCAAGCATAAGAGACTTACTAATCCTTTTATAACCAAATATAAAGGAAAATAATATTTAAAAAAATTAAAAGTAAAAAATGAAAAATAAAAATACAATTAATATTATAAACTATATTATAAAAAATGAAATATTAATCTCTAATTCAATAAAATGAAGAAAATTCATAATAGGATAAAATATATTAACAAAAATATGATAGTTACTATTGTTATTCTTTAATAAAATTTAGCATTTTATTTTACTAACATATAATATATTTAATAAAATTGTTAATCATATAGATCATTAAGATACAACTCTAGATATTAATAGAAGATAAAACCGTATGAAGAGTTTTGTCTTATTATTAATCATTTATGTTGGATATGCTTAAATGATTTTAAATTTGATTCTAAATCATAAATTGAGTTTAAAATCAACTTGAAATCATAAACTAAATATTTTTGCAGTTTGGCTTTAATCAATTTTAAGTTAAAAGTAGTTCTAAATAATATATTACAATAAAACTTTAAAACATTCAACTTTATAAGAGAAACATATTGGTTTATCTCACATTCAAAACTACAGTAAATAAAAATAAAAATCACTAACATGCACATTAACAAGAAATCTAATTTATATAATTATTCTTTTCTCTAATCCATTTTTGGCTTTTTAAAGTATTTTCCCTCTAACTTTAAAGCCTATCACACAATAATATCCTTGCAACATTTAAATGTTTGACTAACATTTAAAAATTACTAACATAAACATATAAATTCTTAACATGTATTATTTGAAAGTTTGAATTAAGGAGTATCATATTTAAATTGAATTTTCAATGATATACGCCAATATTTATTAATAAATAGAAAATTTACGTATAAAATAAAAGAGAAATGACTATTATTAAATGTTGATTTTTATTTTTGTAAGAAAAAAAATTGTGATTTATTAAAAAAATTTTAAAACTGAATTTTGGACAAGTTTAATATCAGTTTTGTGGATCACCACCATTTTGCACCACAACCAAAGTATACTGTGATTAAAACTAAAGTATGTGGCCAATAAGTTTATATGTATTTAGTATGTGCATGCATGTTACTTTTTCCATTGTTGAACAACGGAACTTTAAGTTGACAACAACTTCCTTGGATTCAACAGAACTTGGTTATGCCCATGTTTTACATTTTTTGCTACATTATAAATACATTTTTAATCAAATGACCATTCAATCGTCTCGAATACGATCACATAAATACTGCACAGAAATGGATATCAAAAATAATTTCATTGGCTGTTTCAAGTACCTTGTTTCTTATATGCAATAACAAATTACAAAAATAGAACAAGATGGTTGTACTGAACAAATCTATTTTCATATACAATCTCACTTCTTTTGGATACACAAGAAAAAGAAAAATGACATTGATTTCACATACAACAGTTGCTCAGGGATTTTGATATTTGAATCCCTTTTTTCAATTCTGTGGAGTCCTAATGCTCTCCCCATTACTACCTCCCAGGGAACAACATGGTAGGGTGGTGAAAGCAACAAATGTATATCATACAGCACAATGCAAAAAATCAGTGAGTATTTGTGCTAGGATTTCTTGGCCTGCAGCATTTACAAATTTACTTGAATAATTAGGAGATAACTAGATAAGATTATGTTGGAAAACAAAAAGAATTGGAACACACACATAACATAAAATAAAAAACTATTATTAAAGATCAATAATTAGAATTTGGATTACAGATTTACACATCCAATCCAATGTATTTTAGATTCTGATAGGGTGTCAAAAATTGATTTAATGCATTTTAAGCAGAAATGAAAAGCTGTAGACAGAGTTTATGAGAATTTATATTCAGATTTAGCAGTGACACTAGGCACTGGCATGGTAGTTTGCATTCCTCCTATAATAATATGGAAATACAAAGGCATGAAACTCCAGGAAGAGTTGCAGAGAAAAACAATACCTTTTTCATATATTTCTTGTGAAGTTTCAAAGCTCCATTGCAAGCTTTTTTGGCATCTAGATTCCCAGTTAGTTCATTCAAAATCTGAGAATAATTACGTCAAAGGAGTAAAATAAGCAAGCTCGTAGATACAAGAATAATAATACTATTGTTTATAATACTCAATTACTTAATTCATCAAGATTAAAAAAAGTGGTTCACTTAGTTGATAATAATAAATATCTTCAATTTATATATTTTTTTCAAAACTATCCTTGTCATTAACACTCTTTTCTCTCTTCTAATTGTTTACCGATATAATTTCTCTTTTTGAATTAGACGTAATTTAGTCTAAAATAGTTTTATGAATTGAGTCTTAAAAAAGGAATAATGGTGTTGACTTAAAACATGGTAACCTTAAAAGTTATTCCAATAACGAATTCTTAATTAACAATGCCTATTATATTCCACAGCAAAATATTTTAGAAGATCAGTTTTTTTTGGAACTCCATGCTAGGCATCACTCTGAAACTTTGACATAGTTTAATTTATATGCATTGTCCAATGTAAAGCTAAGTTCAATAGAAAACCACTCTATCACACTATATTATATTAATGAAGCATTAAATCTATATGCAAGGTTAGTGTAAATTATGTTCACATAGATGTCCAATGAAATTTAATCATTTAACTACATTATCCTATTTATTAATATTGTGTCAATGGGGAAAATTCTTATTGTATGTCTATGTGAAATGTTTTACAATGCATATAAATTAATTTCGTAAATGAATAAGGTGAATTAGAAGCCTATGTATAAATGGTTTGCTTTGTCAACTAATGTAAATTCAATTTTAAAGAATATAAGAAGTGTTTAATTTTCATGTATTGTGAGTTTAGAAGTTCTAATATAGTCAACCAACACGATAGAGAGAGATTCACTTGCTCTAAGAATAAGAACTATGCACTTATTCTTCAGTTTTTGATAGTCTAAAGATTTAAAATAATAAGTTATCTTATGTATCAGATTACAAGAAAATGAATGATAGAGATTTAGAGCAAGTTTCTAACTCTTGTTCTTAGAATTTTAATGAAAACTTAGGAGTGACAAGACTAACCTTGACAACATCATCCAAGCCCCGTGCTTCATGGAGTAGTTTTGCACTTTTATCTTTCAATACACTGGCAACAAGGAAAACAGATATAGGAAGAGGAGCTTGAGCAGCATTCTTTGATCTACTCTTCAAAATTTCTCTCTCATACTTTCCACATTGACTTATGGACTTTGTTTTCCCTTTTGAGCTCCCAACTGATTCAGGCATTTCATACACCAAGAACAAGTCAGGATCATATTCCAGGGCCCACATCATCTGTTCAAAATTTAAGCAATTAGTCATTGATCATCCCAATGCATGCACACAACACAAAGGGAATATTAAACTAATCTCGTACCATCAACTATTTCATCCAAAAACTTCTAATACAAAATAAATGTAACATGATATATCACAAAGTACAAAAGAAGCCAAGCATACCTCCCAAAGGTACAATGAATCACAAAAGGAGAATTCTCTTCGAAACAAAACCATTAGCATTCTAAAAGCAAACAGATAGTCACCTCCACCAAGATGCTCTGTGCTCCAAAAATTAAAACACAGAACATTAGTACTTTCTGTTTCTCAAACATTAATTGAGAACAGTACAATTAAATTTCATTGAAAAAATTGGATTTATTCAACAAATTTGAATGACAATACAACAACTGATCATAACAAATCAATTTCTTGCAATCTTCATTTATTAAAACGATATAATTAAAGTTAAATAAGTTATATCCTTGTTTGACCATAAATAAAATACAATAGCATATATGGAAGAAAATACCTAAATGTTTATGAAGTTTTGGATCAATTACTTGAGTAACTGAAGCCAAATCACTTAGTTGAGATGATACCCCAACAGAGTTCTCGGTGCATCTAAAATTGCCGCGCTTTACAAATTCAAGAGCACAGATCATAAGAAACTGAAATGAGGTTGAACATCTGAAATACTACTAAGAAAAACTAGTTTCTGTGTAGCCATAAGCGTTAACTAATCACATGGAATCATAGTGCACCCACTTCTTAAATAAAATTTCAAGCAGCTACTGTCTCACCAAAAAAGTTAAGCGGTTGGGTGAATGCTCAAGAATGGTTTATTACATGATTACATCCCTAACACACCCCATTTCACCAGATCCCGTAGGACTTCAAGAAAGTGGAATACATGGGTCTACCATGTGTTCAAATTCAATTTTTATTTTGAAGAAGGGCAATGACAAGGATCAAAAAATAATGGAAGTTCAGAACCATCTAACCAATCAACTCTCCTAAAAGCTGATGCAGTTAGGTGAGACTCATTTTAACTGGACTATATGCATTGTGCAACTTAAGCAGCATATAATATTTATAAAAGAGCAATCAAGGTGAAGCAAACTAAAGCTATAACATTTCCAAGGAATATCAAGAAGATCCAATACTAGAGACATCCCTCACCCCCCCCCCCCCCCCACACACACACACACAAATAAATAATAGAATAAAAAAGGTGTTAAAGAAAGTTAATAATAAAATAAAATAGAGCCTAGAGATGATTACAAGCCTGCGCATCAAACGCTCAAAGCACCAAAATGCATCTGCTTCATCATCAAGAAGAATTATCATAGGGGAGCATAGGTCACACATTCCTGTTCAGAATTGTAAAATGTTAAAACTGGACGCTTAGATTAGTTGCAAATGGTGGTAGCAAATATTTATTGCTTGATCACAAGAAAACAAAAAGGTAATTAAATATATAAAGCAGTAGGTCCCATATTTATTGAGTTCTTCTTTCCATAAACCAAGTTGGTGTTTTCTTCTGTCAAAGAACAGATTTCTCTACTCTCTTTTTTTTTTTTTTTTTTTTCAAATAATGAGAATGAAGAGGTTTTAATTTGACTGACCACTTAAAAAACAGTTGACTAAATACATAAAGGAATTGCTATGTTATTTCAACAACTCAAAACACACAAACACAGTAAGTTAACATGCATTAAATATCAATTAAATTCTGTGAATGTTGGCCTCCCATTCATGTTCAGGTTTATTGAGGTTAAAATAAGTGTCAATGACTAGTCAATATATCATAGAACAGTGCAACCTTGTTACCTAGAATTATCATGAGCATTAAGGTAAGATGTCAGGATTTAATAGGAATATCTAAATATTAGTATTGGTCTACGGGTTTTTTTTGGACAAACTTCTCTATAAGGACTTTTAGGAGAAAAAAAATGAAATTGACTTCTCCATGCGTTAAAATTAGCTTGTGCACAAGTTAATTTTATTTAGAGAAACTATATAAGAGAACTTCTATAAATTAGCTTATGTTCAAGTTTATTTTAACTTATGCAAAGTCAATTACATTTTTTTCTTCTAAAAATCCTCAGGGAGAAGCTCGTCCAAATAGGATGTTCAAAATATGCCGAAAAATAATGACTCACCTTGACCATAGCCAACGTCTTTATCTATCCAAGCATAAACAGCAAGAATATCCCATAGTTTCGACAAGTTTTCTTGCTTCTCATAAAAAACTAATGTCCTATCTGTGCGAACCACATCAAGACCTGAAATGCATTACATGCAACAAAAATGTCATTTGCAGTGTCAATTATATTTTAGCAATAGGATCTTATATTACTACATGCGAAAACTTTCACAAAATAACATAGTCTACATTCTACCCATATGCCATGCAACTCAAATTGAATTTGTACAGCAAATCATTTCAGGCATAGTTGATATATGAAGAAAATAATTTTGGGGTAGGGTTCTGCCTAAAACTTAGACAATACATACAGGACAATTAGATAAACTATAACAGAAAATGCATTAAGAAAAAATTATTCACAAACCTATTTGATGGAGAGTTAACATCCACTGGACTACTATCTTGTCTGTCACCTGCCTTAAACTATTTGCAGCAACCATCCTTATATGATTATTATTAGCTTGATAAAGTACATCCAATCCCTTGGCTGAGTTTGTTTCTTTCAGAACCAATGGATCTTGAATTGGTTGACCATCTTCAGTAACAACAGGTGCTGTGACAAATCTACCACTTCCAATGAGAGGAAACAATTGGCGGCATTCTTCTTTCAATGTAGCATATTGAATTCTGATAAAATAAAAAATAACAGTGATATTCAAGTAAGGATCTATTAGATTTGGAATTCAGAAACTGAAGTTTTATATTACAAAAATGACTGATTATTATTATCCCTGTATAAAGGACTAGGAAGCAATTCTTGTCACATTTTTTTAAGACACATCTCAAGCCTGTGGTGACAGAGAAGTGAAACACCATAAAACTATGAAATGTTTTAGGATGCTGTGACGATGATAAGGTCGAAAAAAGGGGAAGGATTCTTATAAGAAAATAATCATCAAACATAACCTTCGGCGATGTCTTATCTCATCTCTTTGCTCAAATGTACTCACGGGATCAAAGCAACCAAGTAGAAATTCCCAAACTTCTCCCCTAATTGATGGATGGACTCCCTGGTTTGAAAATTTTAATAAAGCAACCATCAACCCACAGTATACGAAAAAAGGGAGAAAGATGTTTCACAAGAAGAATACATATCAAATAAGTGGAAAAAGGAATTTCAGTCTTATCCCAATCAAGAATTTCTTGAAATCTGCAGTACTTGGCCAGCTTAATTTATTATTGATAACTAGTTGTCTGTACCTACTTCAATCTCAGCCAAAGTAATGGAATCTCAAGCTCTAAAGGGAACAAAAACTATACCCATACCAAAAAGTTCAGTTAGATTCCAAGAGTCAGTTCAACCATACAAAACAGATAACCTTATGTTTTTCCAGCAAGCTAGAGTTCCCAGGTGCACTGACTACACCATAAAGGAAAGTATGAGACAGACTAAATTCCATATCTTCAAACATATTGAACCAGCATTTTAACTATAAAAAAATTACCCCACGGTAGATTCGGGGCAGAGTCTTGCCTATATCTAGATATCCTTCTGAAGTAAATGCAGAATGCCATTTTCTTGCACTTAGTGTTTTACCAGCCTGGACCGAATAACAAGAAGAAGTCAAAAACAATGAACATTGTATAAGTATTACTAGATTATAATATAACTAAGTGTAAGAGTTTTCAGCTGATTATCCTTCTTTCTTCTTTTTTGATGGAGAAATTGCAACCGCACATAAAAGGAAAAAAGACAAAACTAAGAACAAGTAATATACAACACAAACATGTCAATCTCTCTATAGGTCTAAAAGAGACCCCTCCTCTCCTCCCCCCCCAAAAAAAGAAGAAAGATGACCATGAGCAGAACACAGTGGAGAAGAAAAACTAGTTGATCCAAAATGAAATCAGGAGACAAACAATGTCCAGTAAAGATTCTAGCATTCCTTTCCAACCAAATACACCATAGAACCACAAGAAGGCACATGACTTTACATTGAGGATTAAAACCATCTAATTGATTTATTTTATTTTATTTCTCATGATAAAAAAAAAGGACAATTAATCATGTGGTATTAGTCATGACCCGTTGTAAAATACAAAGTGTATTTTATCCAAACTTAAATGTAATGCTCACATAAGTTATTTGGGTAACTTAGCAATCAAGCAGTTAGTTAATAACCAGTTCACATGCTGCATTCTTCATTGAAACAAAAGTAACATGGAAATCTTATTCCAGTCAGTGTTTCACTTAATCAAATTCTACTCGATGATCTGACTCATTAAGTTCTTCTAATTCATGCAACTAATTTATGAATTAGGATGGTATCCATTGGGACAATCGTATAACCAATAATATTCACATATATGTAATTATGTGCAATAAATTCTTCTAACTGAACCAAGTTTCATTGATTAAAACAGATACTTAACATCACTGAATTTGAAATACATAAAAAGCAAAAGATACACTATCCTGAAAGCTGTAATGGCAACTCTTTTCCCGTTGGTAAAATACCAACATCAAAACAACTGTTGACAACTTTGTAAAGATCAACAATTCCCCATCCCCCAAATAAACAAAATTTCTTCCAGTTATTCACTTAACAAGCTAAAATAGCTTACAGAGACAGACAAGCCATGTGTGAGTATAGCTGACATTCTTAAATGACCAAACGCTTTCACAAAACTTCAAATTCATATGCATTGCTCACATAAGACCAACACCAAATCCCATCAACCTAATACTTCTCATTGACCAACAAGCAAAAATACCCATACAAATACACACCAAACCAAAAAATGGGAAAAAAAAAAAAAACAGACCTTGATTTTAAATCGAGAAATCGGAACATCGGTGCATTCAGGGCGGATTTCATAGAAAGAATCAGCTGAAATTCCCGGATCTCTCCACATCCCCATTAACCAAGAAAAAGGGAAACACGAGCAGCTAAAAGGCAACAATTTTGCGTATGAACAATCCTATGCAGCACGCAGGAGCTGGAACCCTTCGAAAATATGGACCAAACCCAGAAACAAAACCTTGCCAAACGAAAAATTCAAGGAGAATCCAGCTCCAAAAGCTAGAAAAAAAAAAGTTTTGTTTTTTTAATATTTTTTGCGATTAATTAATTGTCAGAATGTCACGGCATTCTGGGTTGGTTGGTGGTGGCATGGTCTTAGAGGAAGGTAGCAATACCCTGTCAAAAGGGTGAAATAGGAAGAACATAAGATTCTCAATGTTTCATCAACCCTTTTTCGCAATTCCTCCTTTTAACGCGTAAATTTACACCATATAATCTTTCCTTCTCTTTTTTTTTTTTTTCTTTTCTTCTCATTCTTCTTTATCTTCTTTCACCGTCAACTGTTGTTTTTGCTCTCGTTTGATTGTTTGTTTGTTTACGTTCTCATTCTCTTAATTATCTCAACATTTTAGGACAAGAAATATATCAAGTAAAGATAGATTAATAAGTTGAAAGAAAATAACAACTTTAATTAATTGATAAAATATTGGGATTGATTTCTTTATTCAATAAATAAAAAAAGACTAATAAATGAACATCATATAAAAAAAATAGATTTTTTTAGTTGGTAGTATTTGTTATTTCGAATGAAAAAAGATACACTTTTTGGTTGCTTAATCATGATGTCACTTTGCAATTGGAAGTTGTAATAATAAGGGTTTGAATTGGAAATTGTTAGGTGTAAAAATAAAGTGAGAGGTGCATTACGAAAGTTGGTAGTCAAGCGTGTGGGTGGAATGGGTCTTCGTTTAGGCTTTAATACGTCAACTGATTAGCAGTCAATGAATAATTGATGAGCAGTCACAAATTGAACTTTTTGTGGAAAATTAAATATCAACAAATCAATTCTCACTCATTCATGTTGGTTCCAATTTTTTAAAAGGTTTTACAAATCAACTTCTCCTATACACATCCACAATGTTATTCATATTCTAGAGTTTTCGGAAACATTATAGTCAACATAATAATTAACTTTAGTTTACAAATCAATTTTTACTGGTAATTCTTCTTTTTAGTAGAGTTCAATCCCCTTTTTTTCAATATTTTGTTGAGTTTATTTCAGTGATAATCACCTAACCTAAATTTGTCAAACTCATCTATTATTATAAATTTTATTAAGAATATTTATAATTTTTATTAAGAATATTTAGTATCTATTATTTATAGTTTTAAGATACTTTTTATTTTAAAACTCTAATATATAGTAATGTTATTCTTAGAAAATATTTTGATGAATTAAAAACAATATCTATATAAATTATCTCTTGCATCAATTTTTAAAGAAGAATAAAAGTAGGACCTCTAAGTATTATGTCCCTCCCCAAAATTTTATTTTTTAAAATTAAATTATAATTTACATTTTTTATTTTTTATTTTTTAAATATATATAAAAATTGTAAGGTTGATCTCTTGATTTTATGAGGTGATTTCGCCTATATTTTTAAGTAATATGATATTAACAAGTTAAACAATAATCATAAAAATATTGTCAATAAATTAAAACTTTAACATAAAAAATAATTATATAACTGTTATTTATAGATGATATAAATTTAAGCGAACATAATATTATATCAATTTTATTTTATCTTACCGATATTATTATGCTTTACATCATATCTCATTTTTCAACAAAATTAAAAAAAAATTAGAGAAAAAGTCTCATTATAAAATTTCTAATAAGAATTGAACTTACAAATTCATAAATTATGATTTGTTTAATAATAAATAATTATATCATCAAAAATAAAATAGTTATTTTCATCTCATTTTATTACTATTTCTCTCATAATTTACAAACATACTCTTAAATTCATTCAAGATATATGAAGGAAAAAAATCCATCTTTCAAATCAAATATTTGAGTTAAAAATAATAAAAATTGTAACAAAAGAGTTAAAAAAGCATCATAAGAAGGACACCTTTGTCTCCTTCTTTGCTTTCCCCGAAACGATTTCTCATGGAAAGTCCCAATTTCTCATCTCGTCCCTTTCTCCTTGATCGTTGCCCCATCCTTATCTCATCATTATTATTGGCACCTCCCTCTTCCTCCACTCCCAAGAAATCATTAAAATGACATTAAATTTATTATTGATTAATATATTTTGAAAAAATTTAATAGTATAATGAAGAAGCATTCAAATAATAATAAAAAAAGAAAATTCTAATTTAGTATTTTAGACTTCCATGTGTCACCACTTACAAAAAGTATAAGAGTTTTCCAAATAATTTAAAAAAGGTAAAGTTAGTTGTGGTTGATTAGGGTGTTGATCAACTTGGAGCTAACATCAGCTTGACAATGATAATATGAAACTGACAATTAAAAATTTGAATTCTAAAATAAATTGAATCTAACTCAAATCAAACCAATGAAATTGAATAATATTTGTTTATGAGATTTTATTATATTAAAGTTTATGATATATTATATATTATTTGTAATTTTCATATTATTTAATTGTAGTAAACCAATTATATTATAAAAATGTTATTTATCTCTTTTAATAATAAATCTATTTAATTTATGAATACAATTATATATATATATATATAATTTATATTTTTTTTATTATTAATTAAATATAATTTACTATTATAATAATAGGATTTCTATCGCTATTCATTTTGACATTTCACATTGATTATATAATTGATATAAATGTCATTGTTATAAAAAATTACAAATTTTAACATTATCAATGTAAAAAAAACATGTTATATGAATTACTTAATTAATAGATATTATATGCCTTAAAAAGAAATAAATTAGAACATTTTTTATATAAATATAAAAATAATCAATCTAGTATATGTTATATTTTTTTTAAATATTTTATTTATTTTATTTGTATCACCTATAATTAAAATAATTTTCAAATGATTTCACAACCATATAATATTCTAGTTAAATTTATGTTAAATAACATTCTTCTATTATAAAAAATATATTTCTATATTTTAAATTAACAAAATAACTTAAAATAATATTATAATAAATTCAAATTTCTAATTAGTAAGAGAAGCATGAAAGGTGGTGCGATGCAAAATGATAACGGTGATTGATGGAGGGATTTGAATGTGTCTCACAAAAATGTTTGGAGTAGCTCGTAGAAAAGAAAAAGGTTGATATATTATAATTCATTAATAATGTTATGATGAATGATTGAGTTAGATTAATTAGTCTAATTAACTTTAACAACTTTATTAATATCTTGTCTTTTCAGTATTTTTATTTTATTTTAGGAAAATCAATTGTATATTCAAATTTTAAATTAAATATAATTTACATTGTACCTCTTTCTCTCGGATATTATTTTTATAATTATTTTGGACTCCCTTTTCACTAATAATTATATCAAGAGCTTCAAGATTTGAGAAAAAAAAGAAAAAAAAAAAGAATGACGATGATAGAAAATAGATTGCATGATAACATGTAAGTGTTTGATAGCAAGAACTTGAATAATAAATACGACAATTAGGGTATGAAGATGAATGTCATTTTTGGTTGTTAAGAAGTCTTGAATGTATTTCTGAATGGATATGAGGGGCTACCGGAGAACCTCACCAAGGTATAGTGTGTGACGTTTTGAGAGAAAAAGAAACATGATTACAAAACTATGTTCTACATTGATCAGTGTGTTTATGAAAGCAACTTTAAGAATATTTCGTTGGCAAACACAACGAAAAAAGTATGAGATATACTGGTGCGTAGTTATGCAAGTGGAGAGAGGTTGAAGATTATGCGACTTCAAACCTTGCGTCGTCAATATAAGTTGTTGCAAATGGGGACATAAGAAATCATCTAAGAATACTTTGTAAGATTGTTGTCGATTACAAACTTGATGAAGTCTTGTGGTGAAAGTTTGAAACAACTAACAGTGATGGAAAAAGTGTTGAGAACTCTCGATGCTAGGTTCAATATAATTTCTATATTTATCAAAAAGTTTAAGGATTTCAATTTGTTAAAACTTGATGAACTACATGCATCATTGGATGTTCATAGACAATGTTACGTGAGAAAGCGGAAGAGAAGTCTAAAGTAGAACAAACATTGTTGACGAAACAAAAGAACGAAGGTAATAAAGGAAAATCGAACGAGAGAGGCTGAGGAAGAGGTAAAAATAATGGTGAACAACATTCAGAAGGGAAACAAGAGAACTCTTCACAATCGAGAAGTGGTAGAGACAAAAACTCAAAATAAAGAGGTGATTGATCTGATTCTAGTGCGAGCAAGAAGAGTACAATGTTACAACTATTACAAGTATAACCATTATGTTGCTGACTATTGGAGTAAAGAAAAAGAAGTAAATGTTGCACAAAAGAAAGACTCAAAGGATGAAGTATTGTTGATGGCGACCTTGATGAAACCAATGGAGACTTTTGGTGAATCCTAGTATTTTGATACTAATTGTTCTAATTGCATGTCATTTCAAAGGAGTTGGTTCATCGATCTCGATGAGAGCGTTAAATCAAAGGTAAAATTTGTAAATAATTTGATAGTGAACTATGAAAGGAAAGGTAGAATCATGATCAGAAGAAAAGATGACAAATCTGTAGTAATTTCATATGTAATTTATTGATATGAATCTCAATAGCACAAGAGATGATTTAGGATCTTTAGGATTAGAACCTTGTAGGAAATTTAAGGATTTAGTGATAAGCTGGAAGGAAAGAATCACTCTTCCCAAGAGAGTCAACTCACAAAGGATGTGAAAGTCCTTTGATACAACAAAGTATTCTTGAATCACTCAAGAATTTAGGAGAATAACTCTCACTAAGATCAAAGAGCTAAACTCTAATATTTTTAAATAAAATTTAACTTGTTATATTTGATAAAAATATGGTTCAACCTATATAGAATCTTTGCCATCGAATTACAAACATTCAATAAAG